ATCTCTACATGATTAGAAGAAGCATTTTATTACAGCTTTAACATATTCAGTAACACATTCCAGAGCTAGGATACATCTCTTTCAAAGATGGCTGTAGATTTTTAGGTTCACAGTTGAATTAATACAGTCGTTCAATATTGAACTCAGTATAAACCCGGTAAGATATAAAGTTGAATGAGTTTTTACCCTTTAAAGAAGATCTGCATTTCATTTTAAAATATGCTGTTTCCTACATTTTTTAATATTATTTTTTATTTTTTTTAGAAGCATATTATTACAGTTTTAATATGCTCAATAACAGTTTCCAAAGGAAAGATACAGCTCTTTTAAAAGTGGCTATAAAATTTTTATGTTAGCTGTTGAATTAATACAGTTATACAATATTGAACTTGGTATAAGCCCTGAAAGACATAAAATTGAATGAGTTTTTAACCTTTAAAAAAGATCTTCATTTCATTAAAAAATACACTGTTTCTTACAGAAAGACTCGATTTTGCTACTAACATTGAGATGTTGGCACATGCATCTCTAATTTGTATGTATCTGATTATTACTAGTCATAAGCGGTTGCACTTGGGTCCTTGGCACCTGTGTATCTCTATAAAGTCATCGGGTAGATTTCAATGGTAATGTTTATCACCTCTACTAAATTAACATGATGTAAATTTTTATGCTTCCTCCTCAAATATAATACATTTTTTAAAATTTGATTTTTTTTGTCTGTGTGTATATCACACAGAACATCCCAAAACATCTTATTCAGCTATACACCCACTTCCCAAATGGCACCCTCCCATAGCCTCCCTCCCCCCACTAGAGTCCTTATACTCTGATATCCCTGCTACTGTCTGCTGTGTTGTGAGCACCCCCAGCCGTTCCCCACTACTTATTCATTCGGTAAATCTAGTCAGCCTATCTAGAGGTCTTTATTTTAGGAGGGTCAGCTGTTCCTCATCTAGCAGCAATCAGTTGTCAGTATTCCTTTAGATAAGATTGGTGTCTGCGGTTCATTTTCCCAGTTCTATGCTGGGTTACTATCTGGGAGTCCCTTT